TCCTCTCTCTTGCATAGGCAGGACTTGCGACCCTGGCAGAGACCCTGCTTCTGCTCAGAGGTGATGGCCTTGGGGTGGACTTTAGTAACAATCTTTTTCTCAGTGAACTTATGTTGATGTTTGCCGCTGTTCACTGGGGGGAAGGGCGATTTTAAAATTAAGGCATGACATGAAGTTTCTTCTAGAATAACTGAGTTCATTTACAAAGTCTAAAGGACAGTTGCAGTGCCCATGGAGGAAAGAGCAGGCAAAATGGACCAACTTGGCTCTTGAGTAACTGAGATTGGAGGCCAGGGCTCTCCCGGAAGCTGGGCGTCTCTACCGGCGCTGCTCCCCAGAATGCCCTGGAGCTCTGGTTAAACATGAAGATTCTGATTCAGTCGGTCTGGGCTGGGGCCCAAGATTCCATATATTTATCACATCCTCAGGAGCTGACAGTGTCCTGGCCTCTTTCCACTCAGGGTTTCATCCACAGGGGAGCAGCTTCACCTCGAAGCCCTCTGGACACGCCAACCCCAGTCCCCACCCTATACCTCCACCTTGGTCCCTGGCACATAGGCCTTTGGGACATGCTGATCTGATGTTGACCAGGGAGGCCTCAGTGGGCGGGGAGCCTGGTTGGCAGGGCGTCAGAGGCCCCACCGGAGCTGTCCATCCGGAAGTCGGCTTTCCATCTCCTGGATTTCACACCACTCCCAAAGAGCTTGAGGGGTGTCTCCAGGCCTGCCATACCCTCTTTTGGAAATAGCCTGTAATGTCACCTGAACATTCCACCATACACTTGGCCTGCCCCTGCCTCCCTTTGCTTTTTGGGACACATATTCTCTAGATGGCTGCCTCACTGTCTGGGCCTCAGAGGCAGACACCAGGCTGGAGTGTGGCTGAAGAAGGGTCTTCCTTGGTGCTCCTGCTCCCTGAGGCTACAATGTGCTCCATACATTGCTCCGCCTGCAGCTCCTGGGCTGGGTGAGGCGCTTGCTTGGCTGGTGCAGGAGGCTTGGAATGTTTGCCTCTAGGACAGTGACACCTGGGAGACAGGTGAGGAAGTGTTATAGGGCAGCCCCGATATTGAACGGGTTCCTGGCTGTGGGTCCTCACCCGCGCGCTTAAAAGGGACTTATGAATACTCCACTACAGGCACACACAAAAGGTTAATACAAGGTTTATTTACAAGGGAAAAGGAAATAAGGAAAATGTACAACTCAGAGAGAAAATAGGGAAATAAAGTCTTTAATGCGTCCTACCCGATCCGCCGACCTGGAAACCCAAAGGCACTCTCAGAACTGGCGGGACGCTGCGAGCTGGCGGAGAGCCAAAATGGGGGACCCCCCCCAAAGCCCACGGGTCTGCCTTTATATCAACCTGGCTGCTTAACCCCACCCTCAGGTCCCAGCCACCTTCCCTTGGGTGGGGATGGGATTTGGAGTTCCCAGTGTCTTTGGCTTTGGCCTGGGGTGGGGGTGGAGTCCACAAAGCCTGTATGGGATTAGCTTTAGGACAGCCTTTTCCCCCTAACAGAAGGACAGGATTCCGTTGCTCTGACCTGTTAACTACTGTTTGGCAAAACAATGGGATTTGGTTTTTGGGGGGTGGTTTGGGAGTGTGCACTGTGGAGGCAAAGGTGATGACACCCTGGAGGACATTGTATTTTAAAGGTGGCTGCAGCACAGCAACCTTCTACTTTGCCTTGCCACACCCCTGCCAACAGGTGGGTCCTGTCTCCCTTCCTTGAACCTGGGCTGACCTTGTGACTCACTTGTAGCCAATAGACCAATAGAATATGGTGGAAAACACAGGCTAGGGCAGGAAAACCCTTTGGCTTCTCCCTGGTTCTCTTGGGATACATTCTGGGTGCTGCCAGCAGCCAGGGAGGATTCTGAGCACAGTGCTTGGGGTTGTGTGTGTTGCTCCAGGCAGACCCCAGCCGACTGCAGCATCCACCTCGCCCTGGCTGTGACCTTCTGATGTCCAGTGTCAAGTCCATGGTGATGCAGCCCGGCTGATGTCTGGCCACCATGACCATGTGAGAGATTTTAAGTGAGAACCGCCTGCTCGATTTCCTGAGTCACGAAATTATGAGAAAAACAAATGGTTGTTTGGACTCATGAAGTTGCGGGGTGATTTTTTTCTGCCACCACTAAGAACCACACAGCCAGAGCCAGCATTTGAATGAGCAATAAGTAACTGGGGTACTGGGGATGCTGCTGTTTTCACTTGTAGGTTTTATATTCTTAGAAGCATCTTTCAAACAAATTTCTTTTTCCTTAGTTTTATTTAAAATGTCTTAAGACCCTTGGGAGCAGTGAGTAGCTTGTCACAAAATCAAATAAAAACAAGCCTGAAAACTGTGCAGTAAATCTTGCAGATGGAGCCTGCAGTAAAATGGTAATGGTGATGAAATCCTGGGTCCTCCTCCTGTGTCTCTCTCTTTTTTTAAAGATTTATTTATTTATGCACGCAAGAACTGGGGTACAGGCCAGAGGTGCGGGGGTTGAGAGGATTCACCAGAGACAGAGTGGGGAACAGAACAGGCAGACTGACTGAAATCCACTGCTGAGGGGAGCAGCGGGCGAGTCAGGAGAGGTCTGCTGTGCCATGTGGGTAGCTCCGTGGCTGGGGATCGAACTCATGCTCCAGTGGCTGTGGACAGCTTCGCAGCTTGCGTCTCAACCCCTTGCGCCACCAGGGAGGCCCTGTTTCTGTCTCCTTTCTTTTAATTTTCATCCCCACTCTGTAAGGTGCACCCGTTTTATAGATGGCGGGGGTGGGGGGCACTGAGGCTCAGAGATGTTCAGGAACTTACTAGGAGCCACACAGCCAGAGCTGGCATTTGAGTAAGCAAGGGCGGACCTGACTCCAGAGCCTGTGCAGTAAGATCACCGAGTGTCTCCTTGGGGACAAGGGTGGAGGTCTCTGAGGGGGCCTCTGGTGCAGTGCTGGCACTCAGGACCCTTCAGGGTCACCTTGGGGAGTGTCTTCAAATCCGCACGCCCAGGCCCCATCCTGTCGGAGTCTCTCTCCAAGGTTTCTGCCTCATCTCCAGTGGGTGCCCCTGACTCTGGACACTGAGCTGGGTGAGGAGACGTGGCTCATTCTTGGTGTGAGCAGCTTAGTGACAGGGTGAGGGACAGAGGGCAGGTGTCCGGCAGCCCTGTGCCCCCCACACCTTCTCTTGGAGGTTTGTGCGGTTGCTAGCAGGAGATGCTTCCTACTCAAGAGGGAATCTCAGTGCATTTATGACGAGATTCTGCAGAAATCTTCTGGCTCCGGGCTGTGGAGACTTGGTTCATTCCACCATCTAGAAAGTACTTCACTAGTAGCTCATGTGCCAGGCAGGGCTGCTGGGCACAGTGCTGGCAGAACAGTCCCGGGTGGCCCTGCTTTCTTCTTGAAATTACAGAGACTGGACAAATGAGCTTTAGAGTGTAAAACCTTAAAGGAGTGAGAGGGAGGGAAGGAGGGAGAGGGATGGACCTGGAAAAAGAAAGACGCAAAACCCAAGTGAATTTAGGTCTCTCTAGATCACACTGGAGTTCAGTGGGAGGCTGCTTGAATGGAGAATATTTTCTGGAGCACCTGTTCAAAGTTGCAAAATAGACATCAGACCCTACGTAGCCAGGGAGCCATCCTTCTGGACTCGGAGGACACGCCCTGGAGTGGCCCCTGCCCCCACACGCTCCAGGGGACTTGCAAACCGTCACACAAACCATCACAGTCATCGTCACACACAAGCCTGAGTCTGGGGCAGAAACCAAGGCTGATTCTGTCCAGGGCCTGGGATGGCTTTAGGATGAGCTGATGTTGGGGTTTGTCCGAGCCCCAGGGGTTACCCTAAGACTGTTGGGCACCCTGATGGGCTCTCAGAGGACAGGACAGCTGGCTTCCTCCTCTCTGCCTCCCAACCCCTCTGCTCCTCGCCTTGGCTGGTGGTTTTCCTTTTCCTGGAAGTGCAAACCCAAAGCCTCAGAAACCCCTAAGACCCGCCCACCTGCCGCTGGTGTCTCTCCATCCCGCTGCCCCTCCGTCACTCTGCGCATGTCTCCGGCTCACCCCCCTAGTCCCTGTGTCTGCCTCCCTTTCTCTGCTCTGCTCACTCCCCATCGTGATCATTCCATCCCTCACTGACTGGAAAACCACATTCCTTACCCTGGCACACATGCTTCAGTCCCCTAGCTCCCTTGGCTCTCTCTAGCCACCTGGCACCCGAATCCGGCCCACCGGGTGGAGCAGTGGGCCACAGGGCTGGGAGGTGGCCGGCGGCTGGGAGCCGACAGCAGACCCCGTCCCTGCAGGCTGCCCCGCCAAGATACCCTCTTGGTGACTGTTGCTTGCATCTGCCGGGTGGTGTGGTTCTCAGGTGTGGGAGGCCCGGGAGGGTGAAGAGCTGAGGAGGTGGCTGCTCTAAGTTGTCTGGCCCTTGGCAGCAGCCCCAGAGTGCACCTCATTTCCTTTCCCTCCTTCCTCTTTTCCCTTCTGTTCCTCTCCTGTCCCAACCTGTGTTGTTTTGGAAATTTCTTCATGCTCATTCTGCCCCCTAGTGGTGGCGGTGGTGCCAGGACGCCGAGGGTGACCTGGAGGGCCCACCTGCTCCTTCCCCAGGGGCCCCGCTGATGCTCCCTTTGGTCCAACCCAAGTGCATTTCGTTTCCAGAGACCATGCTTCTGCCGTGGCCTTGCCCAGGCTGAGCCACCACTCACCACTTCAACTCCCAGTTCATTTTGGAACCCCAAGTTCTTAGGCCCTTTGGATGTCACCCCATAGCTATTCTCTCCTGCCCAGAAATGGTCCTTGTTGGCAGGTGATGACGGAAAATTCGAGAGTCTGAGAAATTCTTTCCCTCTTTGCCCAGTTGTACCTGGCGAGACCCACCAGCAGGGCCAGCCTGTTTCCATGCCCTGGGCTGGATTCTCCGCCCGCGGGTGCGGCCGCCTTGCTGGGGCCTGGGAGCACAGGGAAGAGCCGGGCCGGGCCTCACGCGTCTTTCTTTGTTTTTGTTTCAGTTTTACAGAGTTTTTGGATCCGTTCCAGAGAGTCATCCAGCCGGAAGAGATCTGGCTCTATAAAAACCCTCTGGTGCAGTCAGACAACATCCCCACCCGCCTCATGTTTGTAAGTACTGTGATTTCATGGCTGACTGGACCACTCTCCCCAGGATGAACCAAATGGGTTTCGTTTCTGCTTTCCTAGCCCCTGCTGAAGGCCAAGAGCAGCCTGGAAGGAAAAGAAAAGAAGCAGCCCGTCAAATTAAACTCCAGTTCAGATCACGATGGAGGCTGCTTGGTCAAGTGAGAGGGAGTAATTATTGCCCAACACTTTGGATGGAGAAGGGGCTTGTCTACCTGAGCTATGCTGAGTTGTTGCCAAATATTTACCAAAAAATAAGACTAGAAACGAGGCAAGGGGTCTTCCTGCTGCACCCCCTTGTAGGATTGCCTTGAACGTGTCCAACCCAGGCATTCAGGCAGCTGCTCACCCCTTTGCTGTTTTAGCCAAGCAGCTGTTGACACCTGCTGAGACCAGAGTGTGGCTCAGCCCTGGATCGTGTCTCCTGTCTCTGTGCTTCTGGGAGAAGTGGACAAGCACTCAAATAGCTGCTGGAGATATTGGGGTTACTTTGACGTCTTCACCCCACCCCATGCCAATCTCAGCCTTTGCTTCTTCACTTCCTACGTACCAGGCACTTTCACGGGGTGCTTAAGAGAGAATCTCATTTAATCCCATCTGCCCCCCCAGTGAGGAAATGTCTTGTCCACATTTGGCAGGTGCACAGTTAGGGTGCAGGGGATGAGGGAGCTTGGGTCTGGCGTCCCTGCTGCTCCCCACTGACCCGCAGAACCATCATCACATCCTTCAGCAGCAGAGGAAGTATTTAAGCTCCCCCTTTTCCTGGGAACAGTAACTTTTGTATGGACAGCCTTGTAGCTCCAGGGAATTCTGTTGACCAGCTCTTGTGTTTCCCATCCCTGAGGGTGGAAATGAGCTTTCAGCTAGCACCAGAGGAGTGCTTTTGCATCCAAAGAAATCCCCTTGACTTTATGGAGGAAATCTTGTAATTAGTGCTGATCAGAAAGATTTTGTCTGCGAACTCTCCCAAATGCCCAGAACACTACATAAGCATTAAAGTATTATTTTACTCACCTTTTAGTGATTATTTTTTCTGAGGGAAGATAAACTCAATTTTGGGAAATCTCAGGGAAGCTGGATAATTAGAGTGTTTATGAGTTGGTCATTACCTAACCCGTGAGTGCTAAAACCAGACTTTTCCATTTCTGCTCCAACTCAGATCTTCCACAAATTCTAAAAATAAAGGAACCAGTGTGTGTCTCGCGAGTATACGCCATGGTTTTAATAGGAGGGAATTTCTATTTGCCCCTTATTCCCATGCTTCAAAGATTTCATATTTCCTGTGCTGTGAAACCCAATTTGGAGACACGTGTTCATGTGAGGTGTTGTGAGAAGTTGGTGGTGTGTCCTAGATGTAGAACAATGGATTGTTTTGAGGTCTAGATACGAATGCCACAGACATTCCCCACGGCAGCCATGAGCAGACTGGCAGCGGGAGGAAGGGGCAGAAAAGGCATGATTCAGGACTGTGACCTCAGAGAACTGAAGGGTTTTCAACCACAAATACTGACTCCTACCCTCTAATCTAATGAAATAAGTTCACTCTTTTGTTTTGCTAATAGCAGTGGATAAATTTCATTCATTTGGTTACAGCATTTAGTGCAATTTCATAATAACCCAAGAAAAGCAGTGGCTGGATTTGTGTTACCTGCAGCACAGAGATGAACGTGCTCTGCCAGCGCTTATGGTCGCTGTGTTCTCTGCGGTTTTATTAAGCGTCTGACATACCATTTGTCTATCATTTTGATCACTTGAGCTCTCCAGGTGTTTATAGAAGACTTAGTAATTGAACATATTTTCACCGTTTTTAAAAAGTAGCTTGGTTTCCATAGAAAGCTCAACTTTCATTATTTGATATAGAAAATCTTTTACTTTTAATTGGAATGTTTTAATCAAAACTTTCAAACTTTGTAATCAAATTGTTTTTTTCAAAGCTGTTGGTATTAACCCAGATATTTCTTGATTGGGAAATAAGTGCCTCTGGAGGGGTGTGTGTGTGTGTGTGTGTGTGTGTGTGTGCGTGCGTGAGAGAGAGTTTTAGAGGAGCCAGTTTGTCATATGTCACAAAAATAGTGTCAGAATCCTGGCTGGAGAATTGAGTGCAGAGGAAATGTCAGTAAGACATGCCTGTGTTTGGCACTATTTGCAGAGGTGACATCTTTCAAGATGCAGGTTGGGCCATTTGATCCCCAGAGTTTGTTCCCCTCAATGACAGCAGTCCCCACCCTTCCCAGGAGCACTGAATCTTGACATTTCCTGGGAGTTCCCAGGCCCCTGCCTTCAAAAGAGTCACTCTTCCTGCCTGAGACCGTGGGGATCTCCAGAGCATCTTCAGGGTGGAAAGTCTCAGTTGGGCTGTTGGTACTATTTTGTTGTCACTAGAAACTGTGTCTACTTCCACATGGGACCCCTCCAGGAGCTGCTGTGGGTGAAATCCATAGCAGCTGCAGGTGATGGGGAGTCAAATCAGACTTGGGGTATACCCTTGGGGAACCCTGAAGCCATCTGGGGGACATGATACTCTAAAGAAAAAATAGAATCTGGAAAGAAACAGAGGAGAGACTTGGGTAAACTTGCAGGGTGCATCACCCCCATCACCATCATCACCATCACCACCAAGTCATCACGGTGTGACTGTGGAACTGTGCTCATCCCCGTATAAGCACATCTCAGCGAAGCCCTTAGAGTCATCTGGGATTTCCACCTTTGTTGTCCCATCCTTTCAGTGGAGAAAATGAAGCTGTCGTGGGATGAAACAGTGAGTCTAGGATCATGTGACATCAGTGGTCAGACTGGGATCAAGTGCTGGCAGCTGAGTGTGGACTCCCTGGAGCTGTGGGAGTGGCCTCACAGAGGGGCACAGACACGGTCAGCAAGGGCCCTGCAGGCCCATGACCAGGTGTGTGTTTGGAGCACTGTATGGTGGAGGGGTGCAGGGCAGCAAGGAAAGCAGCAGCCTGCGGTGACATGAGGTTAGTTCATTATCCTTCTTTTAACAGACAGGTATGAGGCACCTGCCTTGGGCCAAGCCTGGCGCTAGGTATTGGGGTGCAGAGCTGAAGAGGCAGGACTTTTCCTCTAGTGGGGAATGGGCATAAGCACCAGTGTGGTGGTCTGGCATCTCATGAGACCCTTGAAGCCCAGGCAGGACTCCAGATGGAACCCGGGTAGAGACGTGTCCCCAGGTTTTCCCTTGACTTAAATTTTTTTTACGCAAGACCTCACCTTTGCCCTTGTCTTTTTTCTCCAGCCACAATGTGTCCAGAAGATTGATTTTCCTTGAATATCACTGCTATTGTCTGGAGTTGATCACAGGGCTTCCTAGTCTGGAGTAGGCTGATTTGAAGGAAGACTGAAATAAAGGCAATTTTGGGGGTGGAGGGGAGGGAAAGAGACAGGCTGGCTGGTGATGGACAGTTTAATTTTTAGCCTCTTTTGCGAAGTTGGAGGCAGCTCTTTCCGCGAAGAGCTGGGATTGTTTGCCCACAGCAGGGCCCCTCCAGGTGTCTGCGTGTCCTGAATTGTCTCCCTGATGGCTCGGTTCCTCCCCTCTCTGTCCAACACAGAAATGAAGGCATTTCGGGCCCACTGTTTGTCTGATGTGGACAAAGAGCAGTGACAGGCTCGTCTCCAGCGAATCTCCTCACGTTGGGGTGCTCAAGCTTTGACCCCTGCACTTGTTAACAGTTTTGGGACCCTCGGTACCGCCTCCCTTCGCACTCCTTGCTTGAGTATCCCGATGCCCACAGGCATGCCCTCCTCGTGGGGTGCCCCATTTGGGGGTGACTGGGTGTGGCCCGGCCCGTGTTGGTTCCATCAGAGGATGCACGAGGCAGGGCCCTGGGTGGAGATAGGGTGAGGTGCTGGGATTAGCTCTGCCCTGTCCCTGACCCAGTGGTGCCACTGGTGGGACCTGGGGCCGGAGCTTCAGCTCTTCATGACTTCCCTGGCCTGGTCACTCTACCAAGCTTTTCCTAGCTTGGGCTGTTGGCTCACAGTTTTCCCCGGGGGACTATGATGTGGAAGCCGACATGGTCGCTGGATGGTCACTCTCCGCTGGACTCGGGGAGGGGGAGGGTGTGTGCCCTTGCGGGGCTGCTGAGCATCAACTCCCAACTTCCTAGCTCTGTGGGAGAAATGGGGAAATCACTTCCTCTTGGTGTCTCAGTCTCCTTGTCTGTAAAAAAGACTTTAGCAATGCTTCCCTCCAGGGTGCTGGGGGCAGCAGATTGGAGACTCATAGCACCCTCCTTAGCAAGTGACACATAAGAAGCATCAGTATTTGCCAGTGAATTTGAATCCTGGCGATGATACTTTGCCTTGGATTTTGTGATGGGCCCCATTTTAGGGATGTGGAGACTGAGACTCAAAGGCAGAGGTTGAGTGACTGGCTCAAGGCCACAGGGCTGGTAAGGGTCAGAGCTGGGGCTTGAACCCCTGGCTCCCTGTCAGATGCCTGCATCCCTTTGTGTGAGAAGCTCATGCCATGGGGTCTTGGACCCTCCTGGGTGCTGAGCATTTGTCACAAAGCTGGTGGTTCTGGAGAGGAAGCCAGTGCGTATCCGAAGTCATGAAATGGGTTAAATTAAATGCAGTCTGGTTCAGTGAGTGTTGGGGGATCCCATTAGGAGAAGGAGAGCAGAGGCAGGAGGGGTGTTAAGAGAGACCCCCCTTGGCCGTCAAGTCGAGCACCTCGAGCCCCTGTGCGGTGTCCCCTCTGCTGCCTGTTCCCTCCTGCCTCGGGCCTCCTGGAGACAGTCTCTGCAGCTTCGTAGGGAAAGTCTTCCCAACTCCTATTTTTTCCTGGCATTTTATTTCTGTCTGACCTTAGCATATATTATCCGGGCAATCGTGTTAGGCTTTCTTCAGTTCTGTGCTGTCCTCGTAGTGAAGGTTTAGCTGTCAGTGGGGTCCCTGAAGGGCATTCACTGTTCAGGGAATTACTTGCCCTGTTGGGAGCAGGTGGCCTGACCTCCAGCACGGAAGTAAGAATAAGCAAGGAGGTGGACCTGTGGGAGAATTGGATCTGGGGAAACAGGAACTTCTTTGACTTTGACTATAACTTTGAACCTAAGTAAGCAGAGACTCCAGTCATGGCTGGTTAAACACTGAATGTGTGAATCCAAACTCTGAAGCAGTGTTTGTCAATCACCAGCCCCAGTATCATTCGAGGTGCTTCTTAATGTAGATGTAGATTCACAGACCTGTCTGATAAATGTATTGGAAGGACCCAGCCTTTTATTTATTTATTTTTTAAAAGATTTATTTATTTATGCATATAAGAACTGGGGTAAAGGCCAGAGGTGCAGGGGGTGGGGGGTTGGTAGTGAGGGGATTCACCAGAGACAGAGTGGGGAGCAGAACAGGTGGATCCACTGAAATACACTGCTGAGGGGAGCAGCGGGCGAGACAGGAGAGGTCAGCTGCACCATGTGGGTAGCTCTCTGGCCGGGGATCGAAGTCATGTCACAGTGGCTGCCGATAGTTTGATAGTGCTGAGACTTTGACCCCTGCACCACCAGGGAGGCCCAGGCCCCAGCCTTTTAACAGGCCTGTAGGTGTGAGAGCCCCCAGGTGGCTGTGGAGCCTGGCATGGACTTACTGGAAACTTAATGCACAAAGTCTTGTTGCCTTTTCCAGTTGCCCTGAGAAATCCTCTGCTTCTCTCCTAGCTGCCCTTAGACCCAAGCCACATTCTTTTGAAAACTATGGTGACAAAACTTTTTTATTTAGCATGTAAGCAACCAAATCATTCAGGGCCTGATAAGGAGGCTGGTAACGTGCATAGGTGCTCAGAAAGAAATAGGCAGGTAAGGGAAGGGATTCTCCTATCTCGTGAACCATCTTTGAAGACAGCTCCCAAACAGGGGTCCCCAAGGTGTTTTGAGCTCTTGCAGTCTGATTGTAGCATTATGCAGGGCATCTTCAAGTATTTTGAAGGGTCATGTTCATCTGGATGAATTCTGTTCTTATACAATTAGTGTCGTCTCCCCATTACTTCACTCTATCCTAAAAATAGCATCCCATTAAAGCACCAGTGGGAGTTTCCAAAAGTGTGAACACCAGTGATCAGTGGTTATTACAGCCAATCCTGCCACCAACTGGGGACTTGTGAGCTATTTGGTGCCTTCTGACATTGTTATCCTGAGATGTTATAATCTGAGGAGGTGAGATATATATATATATATATAAATATGCATATATATACATACACACATGCATTTATAAAGCTATGTATTTGTGTTTGTATAGAGCTTTTTCTGGGATGGTGGAATGTTGAAAATAACTAATAACCATAGAATGCTGAATTAAGACGAGGTGTGGAATGCAGAGCACCTGGTCTCCTGAGTGTGGCCTTGCTACTCACCAGCTATGTGTCTTTGGACAATTCATTTAGTCCCTGAGAATTGAGAAGAAAGGCTCAGTCATTCTGAGGATTCACGTGGCTCCAGTGTCTGGTGGTCCCTGCGCTAGTTCTGCTCTTAGAGGTTCTGGTTCTGTGATGAGCATTTGCACCTGAATCCCACGAGCTTGGTTTCATAAGTCCTTATTGTACTTCTGTGCTTTGGGCCAGGGAGGAAAGAGGATGGAGGAGGAAGGAGGAGAGACTTCGAGCAGAAGGACTGTCCTCTGCTTTGAGGGCAGATTCATATTGTACAAAAGGACACTGAACAGGGATGGAATGGCTGACTCTGAGCAAGTCCCACGTGTCCCTATTTGCCAGAGAGCCAGAAATGGGAGGCCAGGGGTTCTTCCACCCTTTCTGCAGGGGGGCCAGCGAGGGGGCTTCCTGGCAAAGATGAGTCAGCATCATTATAGACCGTTCTTTTCTGTTTAAAAAACCACCACTTTCAATGTGGCTCCCAGCAATTACGAGTTGAATATAACCCACCATCAGCTACCCAGTGTTTCAAGTCTCTGGCGTCTCTGTGTGCAGATGTCAATCCTCTTCCTTTGTCTGAGGTCAGGCGTTCTGTAAGGTCATCCAACTAGTGAGTGTAAAGGAAGCTAATGGGAATTAATTATTAATCAGCCCATTGATAGCAAACTGCTGTCTTCATAAGGGATTATTTGTTATTTTTTCCAGGCAATTTCTTTCCTCACACCCCTGGCTGTTATTTGTGTGGTGAAAATTATCCGGCGAACAGACAAGACTGAAATTAAGGAAGCCTTCTTAGGTAGAGTATTCACAGATCCTGCTTCAGGGGGTGGGGCTGAACTTAATCAGATCACAAGATTGACAATATCTTCGCTCACCCAGTGGATTTTTCTGTTGGTCAAATTAAGCTTGGGAGAAACGGACAAGATAGACTTTGCTTAAAAAAAAAAAATCATTGTTATTGAAATACCATTATTTTACATCCTTGCTCGTGTTTCCACAGTACAGGCAGCCTGCCAACCAGGTGGAGTGGCCATAGCCTCCATAGCACCCATAGGCAAGATAGACTTAAGCTCTAAAAAGAACCAATGCACAAATTGAGGGGTGGGGAGCCTATTTTTTTTGCTGTTGTCCTTGGTGCTGAACATGATCTGGTACAGAGGTGGCGTAGCCCCTTGGGTGGTAAGCAAAGCGAATCTGAAATTTTGCTTCAGTGGCTGTCCAATCCCACATTTGTGCCTAATAGGCCCACATTTCAAGGAATTTGGAAACTGACCACAGACTCCTTGATCAACCCCCTATGACTAATGACAAAGATGCAAAAGCAGGTATAAAATAGAAGTTGGAAACAAGTCCCATGACTCATATTCGTTTTGGAAATTGAGCAAGTGTAAAGAGTCCACAGCCTTTGTCCTTGGCCACAATATGAGTGTTATAAATTCTCCCCAAGCTAAGACGTCTGCATGTGACACAAGCTTTTTTTAGGACTTTTTAAGATTAAATCCATTTTTCTGATTTGCACATTCACCTCATGGTAAGTAAAGGACACTGTTAAGGGACAGCCTGCAACTGTGTTTCCAGCTTTTTGCTAATTATGAAAACTGAATTAGATTTTTTTTTTGACATTCCCCCATAAAAGTTATCCAAACCCTTCACACAAATTGTGCTGTTGGTTTATTGTGAGGACTTGACATTCGGTTTGACAGTAAATCTGAAAAATGAGATTTCCCACAAAAGGACATATTTGTTAGATACTGGGTTTAGAGGAAATGTGAATGTAGCAAGATAGGACCTCCCTTTGCTTGGTAAGGGAGCAGGGTGAGAGCTAGATCTAGAGTATATTGAACAGCTAAAGGGTTTTTACTCTGAGGCAGGGCAGGCAACATTGCTTACGTCACTGGACTTTATTTAGGTTCAGTCTAGTTGAAAAGAACAGAATCCCTCTCATATTAGCCCAGATAAATTGCGGGTTTAATTGTACGGCTATAACAAGCAATTTCACAGACATCTAAGACCCCGGGGAGAAGGACAGAGGTGTGTAGTGGGGACTGGAAGAGTGAGCCAGGTCACTGGGTGGAGATGCTCCCCTCAGCTCACAGCCTCTCCCCTCTTCTCCTCACCCCACTTACCTCATTCCCCTGCCTCGGCCTTGTTTCTGAGGCTCACGGTGGTTGTTGCTCATGCCCCACTCCTGGGATCAGCTCTAGTGTTTGTTACTTAGTTTTGCTGAATCTCATGGTATAGATGTCCCAGGCGGAGACCCTGGCCCCTGATTTCTCAAGCCTGGACACAAGGCTGTGGCCGGTGTTTAGGTCAGGTGCGTGCCCCAGGCTGCTCCCCTGTGGGTGGGGGTTTGGCAGTCACGTGATCTTGGTGTCCTCAACTGAGGTTGGAAAGCTCAGTTTTTCCAAGAAAGGGCAAATGTGCCCTTCCCCATGTGACTTAGCAGTGAGGGTAGTGCTTGGACAGGTATCACTGCAGTCCCCAAAATATCCTGTTGGCAGCCCCTCGTGGTTGGCCTGGACATGTTCACTCCTTACTTTAGTTGCTCCCCCGGCACAGAGTCCCAGGATATGTGTCTGTGGGTAAGAACTATCTTTCATGGTTATGGTTATAATTTACTGCCAGCTTTTGGAGTCGAGCTGCTGTTACAGCAGTAAGTAGCTCATAGTTACTTCCTCTAGACCTTTTCATTCTCAGCTAAATCTCCCTTAGGGTGACATTTCAAAATTGCACAGCATACCCTGCCTCCTATAAGTTAACAGAGAAGGCGGAGTTATTGGATGTTCTGTTTGCCTAAATAAATGAAAGTCTGCCCTGTAAAAATGATTGAGAGCCTCCCAGTGCACACATCTTCTTAAGATCACTGCTCTTAGGAAGCCCTGAGAGTAGGGGATGGGGCTGATCTCTAAAAAGCAAGGATAGAAAACTAGGAATAGCCTTTCCACTGCAATCTGGAGCTCTGGACTTTCTCAGGGAGGTGATGTCCCTTCTTTGCTCTGGCATTTTCTGCAGACAGAGCCCAAGGATTCCCCTTGAATGCATGTTCACAGAGGTCCTCTTTGTGTTTCTGCCATTGGACAAAAGGAGAGAGACTTGTCCCAGGGAGCACTGGGTTTTTAGGGATTTAGGCTGCAGAGCAAAGTCTGTAACAGGGACCCTGTTAGAGAAGCACTGCTGTGCTGAATTCTCAAGGACAAAAAAAGTCTCAATAAAAGTTCTCTGATCTTTGGGAAGGCTCATAAGTAGTGGTGATCCCAGTACAGGCCACTTGCAGGCCAACATGCATGGCATTTTGAATCTTTTTTATCATATACAGTCTGGGTTGTCTGTCTGAAGCTTTGCTCAAGCCTTCAGTGCAGGGGAGGCGAGGTGCTGCAAACAGCCCCTGAGCCAGACCCACTGGGCTGCTGTGTGTCAGCAAGGGCTCCTGTTGGGCCGTCCCTGTTCTGCTCACCCAGCTTTCCTGCATTGAATCTCAGCACAGCCTTCTCTCTGGTATCTGTGTGAGGCCCCCATGTCATCCCTGGAGGGGTGTGTATGTGCTATTCAGAGGAACATCCTCATCTGTTTGGTTTACTCCCAGAATGCTGACATGGCTTCCACCCTAAACCCCCAGATCCCCACTCTTTTCTGCCTCCTTCAGGCTTTTGGATCAGAGAGTGAAGTTGTGGTTACATCACAGCCACACGTTTCTAACTCAGCTACTTGCTGCTTTTTAAAGAACCTCTCTGTGCTGCAGTAAGCCCCACAGGTGCAGAGGTTGGAGCATGGATGGTGTCTGGATCTATGTAGAAATCTCTAACGCTCCTGAAGGGCTTTTGAGATCAGCTTGTGATGCTTGTTCTTGGAGATGTTCTCTGTGCTCAGCCCCATGAGGACAGGAATCAGAATGAGCCAGCCCTGTGGGGAAAACTCAGCAGCGAGCAAGTCAAACCTACCAGGAAAAGTCCTCAGTCTTTACTGGGTGATGTCACAGCCTGTTCATTAGCATGCAGTACACAGAGAAGAAAACCCAGGGATTTTCCTCTCCTCCCTGCAACAGAGACCTCTCGGCAGTGCTCCCAGGTTTCCAGATGGGAAGCTAGCATTTTAGGAAGGGTCTGTGCAAATACGTCATCAGAGAACCTCTCCAAGTTCCCCATGCTTCTTTCCAATGTAGACACCCCAGATGCAGGCCTGGTGTTTTAATGGCAGTACTGTTCTGTGATTCATGCTCTGCTCTCCACCAGCTGCCCGTGCAACCCTCCTTTGCTGTCACACTCAGATATATGTCCAGTTGTTTCCTCTCCCACACTTAGGTGATGAGTTCCCCTTAGACAAAGGTGGTCATTCGATCTGATCCCTCCCATTCTCTCTGCTTCCCACCACTGGTTCAGAGCAGGTAGTTTCTGTCTCCACCACTGGCCTATGTCCTTGGTGACCAGGCTGGCCATTCTAGAGTGCTTTCTGCTTATAGAACAACACATTTATCTCCCCAGATGGCCATGAATTGCTGTAGGCAACTCCTTCCTGAAAATGTCCCTCCCCTGCTGTATTCACACATAAATCTCAGCTAGTATTGAGTAGTTAATATTTGTCAAAGGGAAACGGTAGCTCAGAGGCTTTATTACTCAACAAAGCAATGGAATAGAGAGCATCCATAGACTTTATTGCTTATGCAAGGCATTTGACCTTCCAGCACATCGGCGTACCCTTTGTATAGGCTAACTAACCACATGAGATGGGGGAGGTCCTCGCAGGGAAAATTCTGCAACTCTGGTCCTCTGCACCCATTGGACAATGCATCCTTCACTTAGCAAAGTCCTTCCAGACTGCTTGGAGAAAGGCCCCATTCTGTCTCTTTCACAGCGGTGTATTTCAGAAGTTCCTGCTAATTGAGGTGACAAAAGCACCAAGTGGGCAAACCTGAAATCCCAGTTTGGGGATTCTTCACCTTCTCAAAAACAGTGCTTTCTTTTATAGCGGGGACAGCTGTTGGTAGATGATAGTTCATCCAGGAGATCATCGCCAGGTGGGAATGTCCTAGTGCGCAGGAGGATTCCAGCAACTGCTCTCACTAGACTTATGTCTGAGAAACTTGCCAGAGGAAATAAAAAAGTAATGTTTCTTGCTACCAGTAAAAGAGGTTCTACACACTGTAGTATTAAATCTGTGCACATCAAGCCAGGGAGTGATAGATGGGCTCCTCTGTGATAATGAAAATTTCAGGGAAGGAGGAGAGATAAATTTCATGTCCTAGGGGCTTGAAATGTTGTGAGTCACTTTCCAGAGTCCTGAGCTAATTATATTTTACTCCAGCAACCAAGTTTCCTCTGTTTTTTAAGATTGGGTTCATATTTCTAGTCATCAATTAAACAGTATGATGATGTCACAGTGATGATGCTGATGCTGATGGTGCTGATGCTGATGATTTTGACCTGAGAGCCAGCTGGTTATTTTTCTGTCTGTTGGTTTTGTTTTGTAGCGGTGTCCTTGGCTCTTGCTTTGAATGGAGTCTGCACAAACACTATTAAGTTAATAGTGGGAAGGTAAGTTCCACAAAGAAACATGGGGTGACTGAGCCCCATAGGGCCACCTGAGGAGGAGCCTTGGCCACAGGGCATGGGAGGGGACAGAGCTGGCCTCTTCTGGTGGTCCCTTAGATAAGCCTCCTCATGGACTTTCTGTCCCCAGCACAGATCTTGTCTCTTCTTTGAACTGTGGATGCTGTTTCTGAGAGCAGGAGGTCCTAGAAGAGCGTGTCCATTGAAGGGCCTTTCTGGTGGTCCTGACCCCATCGTGGGCGTTTTTAGGGTCACCCCCTGCTAACCCGGGGCCTCACTACTCACTTGACAGTTTTGGCCTCCAAAAAAATTGAGACTATTTATTTACTGTTCTCTTTGGGGAAAGTATACATTGGCATTTGAGCTTTGGCGTGGGGCACCTTTCTGTTACCCCTGGGAAATGATTCCATTCTCCATTTATCCTGTCTCCTCGATCACCTGCTCTGGAAGTGAGCTAGTCACTGTAGAGACAAATGGTCAGAAGGCGTGAATTTGAGACCTGACGTTGACCCTGGCTAACTGCTGGGCTTGGGCAGGGCGGCTTCCCTCTCAGAACCTCAGCTCCTTGGTGCAGGGCGCCCTGGAGGCCCAAGGGGGCAGGAGGTGGATGCCCTTGGGCAGTACTGCAGTGCTCCAGGTGCTTGGAGTTGTGGTGGGGCCTGGATTAAATGCTGACCCTTGGGTCCTGTCCTTCAGAGGTTCTGTTTCAGCAGGTAAACGAACAGCCACGCTTGGCGAGGCACTAGAGTAGGAGGACAGTATACCACACCAGCAGTGCTGACAGAGTTTTGATGTTGATTACTGACATTGAGCATCAATAGCTACAGATATTGAGGGGTTATCATTGGGCCTCCAGAGCAGGGAGGACCAGTGATCAGTGTGCATGGACTGTGACCTGATCCAGGCAGAAAAGGGGCGCTGGCTTACTGCCTTAGCGAGACTTGCCCATGGTGGGCATCTGGAAAATATTCCTTGAATCACTGGAGAGACTGACCACCATGCCTGTGTGGGGAACCCCCTTAGTGGGGAGGAAAAGCATGGGGGTGAAGGTGTAGCTGTGAGCATTCATTTGCTGGGGCTCAGAGCTTGTCTTTGCCACTTACTGGTTACGAGTGACCTCGGGCAGCAGTGTCATCTCCCTAAGCCTTCTTTTCCCCACCTGTAAAGTGAAGACAGCCCCTGACCGGCCGCAGGAGGGTCCCGAGGAGTGTGTGCTGTATCCCTCCCATGGTTGCTTAGTGAGCACTGTGTCTGGGACCCGGTAGGGCTCAGAGATGCCAGGCAGGTGTCCGTATGCGCGTGTCGCGGAGCAGAGCTGCCAGGCTCCCTCAGTGAGGTGAAGTGAGACCTGCTATTTGAGGAAGGCAGTTGGCCACCTGGACACAAGAGATGGGGGTGCAAGGGTCTTGGAGTCTGGGCCCCTGGAAGCGGGGCCGCAGGTGGAGGCCGGATCTATGCTCCCTCCACGGGGGCTGTGCTTGGGGTTTCTTGTGCTTCATCTCCCTTAAACATCGGGGGCCTTTGGGTAGGGACTCAGCTCCCCCTTTACAGAAGTGGAAACTGAGACTGGGGGTGGCTCTGTGACCTCTCCAAGGTCATAAAAGTAGTAAGTGTCAGAGCGCGGGGCAGATCAGATCTTCCTGTCCCAGAAGCCTGAGCGTCCTGGAGACCCCGGGTCTAGAGCCTCCACAGGGAGCTGGGTGCGGATGGCAGAGGAGGAGTCGGGGCAGCTGGGAGTGGCGGGGATCAGCTGGGGGTTTGTTTGTGATGGCAGCGTTTTATATTGAAAATGTCCATGGTGTCTTTTGTAGACCTCGCCCCGATTTCTTTTACCGCTGCTTTCCAGATGGAGTGATGAACTCGGAAATGCACTGCACTGGTGACCCGGATCTGGTGTCCGAGGGCCGCAAAAGCTTCCCCAGCATCCATTCCTCCTGTAAGTTCAGTGGCCGAGACTCACTTTAATTCCCATCATGTCTCCTGATCCCTGTTTTGCACATTTGGGTGGACAGAGAAGGTGTTCTGTCTTCATCGCAGGATGGTTGACTTAGAGACAAGACATTTGCGGGGTAGTAATAAGAGGCATCTCTCGAGATCACAGGACATATGTTGCTTTCCAGAGCTTGCCGGGGGGACGTGTGACACTTTACCCGTAGGTGGTGAGATTCAGGAACCTGACAGTGCAAGGGAATTTACCAGATCCTGTGAGATACTATGCTTTTCAGTTGAGCGTTCTTGCTAATTTATTCCCTCAGAGAGTGTGTGTGTGTGTGTGTGTGTGTGTGTGTGTCTGTGTGTGGACACCGATATATAGCATATATATGTATACATAGGCTTCCCCCTCCCCTCACTGAGAGTCTGCTTATAGATGGGTGATCTCAGGTGGGTCAAGGGGAGCATGGTGTAGTGGAAGGAACCCACCTTTGAGTGGGATGAATCCTGGCTGTCCAGGTATTAGCTCTGTGACTCAGCTCCCTGTGCCTCCCTTCCTGCTGTGTGAATGCCTCCGTGATGATTAAAATGAGCGATAATGATCACTGGCATTTCTGGAGCATCTACTGTGCCAAAATGTTTAGGTGTGTGATGATCTTTAATCCACTCAATATATAGGAAGTACTTAGTAAAGTACTTGACATAAATAGTAGTTATCCACCTCCTTGCTTATCATTGGAACCTCCTGGCTCTTGTCTTCATTCATTCATTCCATCAATCTTCATTGAATGGCTCAGGTGCCAAGGCACTGGGCCGAGTGCTGAAGATGCAGAGATCCATAAGACACAGTTCGTGTCCTGGCAACGCTACAGGCAGGGCATGGCAGACTGTATACTAGGTTGGTGATTCTGGGATAATGGGGGGAGAAACATGGCCATGGAGAGTGACCCCAGGGAGAGTACAGGGTGCTCTCGTGACCCCAAACCCTTGATTCCCTGCAGGGCTGATCATCGTTTGCCATTGGCAAGCTTGTTATTTCAGTCTTTTTTTCCCCTAATAACTAAGACATTCCCTGATAGTAGCTGGGTCCAAGAATAACTGGAGGCCTTCCCTGCAAAGTGGTTGTTGGACATTTGGCTGAGAGCCATTGCAGACCAGGCTGTCAACTATCTTGGAATACAGGCACTCTAAGTGAATCCCTGCTGACCTGTCAACTGCCTGCCAGGTCAGATGTCCCTATTTTAGGTACGGGGCCGGTGAGGCTCAGACAGACTCAGTAACTTGTGCAAAGTCTGACCTTCACAACGGCCTCTGAGGACTTCTGATGATTGAATATAATGGAGAACTCACCGTTCATGTTCACTTGAATAAATAATTCCTGTAGTTATATCGTCTCTAGTTTCCCAGACACGGTACCGAAATGGATAGTGGACTCTAACGATCTGTCCAACGCCTAGCCCTGGGACCTGTGAACATGACAGTTGAAAAAGGGTCTTTGCAGATATAATTAAGAATCTTAAGGTGAGATCACTGTGCGGCTCGACAGGCCTCAATCCAGTGACAGAAACCATTATAAGAAAGAAACAGAGGAATATTTGAAACTTAGAGAGAAGTAGGCAGAGGTTGGAGGATACTGCCCCAAACCAAGGAACACCTGGAGTTGCCGGAAGCCAAAAGAGATGAAGAAATCTCCTCCTCTAGAGCCTCAGGATGTAACCTTGTCAAGGTTTTGATCTTGCCTTCTGGTTTCCAGAACAGTGAGAGAATAAATTTCTTGTTTTTAGTGACTGGATTTGTGATCCTTTGTTACAACAGCCATTGGGTTTGAAGACAGAGATTTTGATCACTTACCAGTTAGTGAAAGGATTTGTCTTATAGTTGGGGCGGGGAGTGGGGGGGAGCTTAAGATAGAACATACCTTGGAAATCACTTCCTCTCTCTGTTAGTTTTTTCTCTCCAAAGTCACGTTTTTAGTGATGTCTGTTTTGGAGGAAGCGGTACATACCAGCTGGGGAAATCCCAGCTGTATCGAGTTATTTGTCTCCTTATTGTTGGGGACTACTGTACAGGCATTATTTGGAGGCACCTGGAATAGTATTCACCCAGATTGTTCTCCATCTATTGTCTTGCCAGGTCACTCAAGTTCTCTGTTGTTTTAAAATGTCTTTTGTCCTCCCAAAGCCTTGGTGCTGAGCTTTAAGGGGCTTCAAAAATTAAAAGCAGTAAGAAATGAAACCCTCTAGGAAAACCTTAATCCTGACTTTCAAGTGGTTGACTGAAGACCACAGCACCGTTTCATATCTGCTGTTGCATCTGAACTTGGGGAGGAAGCGGCTCTCATGTGAATATCTCAAGCTGGAAGACTGCTGGACCCTAGAGATTAGAGGCCATATATGTTCATTTTAGAGGCACTCCCTCCCTAGCAAATGCATTTTCTGACAGGGCTGCCCGCCAGCTGCCTTGTCAAATGCGGGGCTGATGTTCGATGTGCTAGACAAGCTTTTTGACAGTAGCTATTACTATCTTTTGCTTAAAATGCTACTTAAAATGTTACGAATTCTTACTATTTGGCAGACACAGAATTGTCCCCAGCCTCTAGGCTTTGATGGGGGTATTTTCGTCTGTTCTTTTTTCCCTTTTTTATGACAGGTCAGTGATTGCCTTGCAGAAAGCTGCCACAGCCACTTAGAAAAAGCCATGAGTGCTGCTCTCTGCATTTCTTGTTGTAGACACTAGGAAACCTAGTGGCTGGTGTGACTTTTAAGGAGATTCTGCAGCCCAGAAGGGATGACTTGCTTGGGCTCTGGATTGACACACATACTCTTCATCCTCCTCAATAAAACCAGTTGTGTAGCTGGACATGTGTGAGTGGACACAGGAGTTCTGGACTAAGGGCTCTTCTATGCTGATTGCTCATGCTAGGTGAACATGGGACACTTCTGCTCTGTTCACAGGTGACTGGCACCTCAAAGGTAGTCCATATCCACACATCATCCAGCAGAATTTAAGAACAAACACTGATTTCTTTTGGAAACAAAAAGGTCTTGTCCTTAATCCAACCATAGCAGCTGAACAGCTGCCTCCCACCCACCACAAGTGCTTACATTGCAATCTGTCTGCAAACAGGACATCCCCAGGGCAGCAGTCTTAGGGGATTTGCTCTCCCAGGCAGCCTAAACAACCGGGATTGGAAAAGCAGAGATCACAATTTCAAAGAGCAAGTAATTTCTTTCAGAGTGATGAGGAGCTTGAGATTTAATGTGGAGAAAAGCAATGCCATTCTCCCAGCGGGAATATTCTAAAAAGGAAATTGTCTTTCATTGCATAATCTCAACATTTGATTGGATATTGATTCAACTTCCAGAAAGAGGAGAACCTTCCAAGAGAAAAATAGAAAGGACAAATTATGAATGCCATGTTCTTCCTGTAAAAATGGTGGGAGTGAATAGAATGATGCTGCTATCCGGGGGGTCACCCAAATCCAGTGGTTGCCTGTTTTTGTAAATAAAGTTTTATTGGTACACAGAGATGCACATTTATTTACATAGTTGCAAAAGTGACAGATGGCTCACAAAATGGAGCATGTTGAGCATGCGCCAAACAAAATGTTCAAAAGCGCTACTGTAGAGGTTGGAATGAAGCAGGGATGAATAAGAGAACTTTTAGGGCAATGAAACAATTCCAAATGATACTAAAATGATGGTGCCTGCCATGACAAATGTGTCAAACCCATGGAATGAACAGCACCCAGAGCGAACCCTGATGAAAACTGTGGACTTTGGGTGATTGTGACATGCCAATGAAGGCTCCCACACTGTGACAAATGATGGGGCATGTTGATAATGAGGAAGGCCAAGCATGTGCGGAAGCCTGGGTTATATGGGAGATTTTCTGTACCTTCTTAATTTTTCTGTGAACCTAAAATGGCTCAAAAAGTCTAAAATTAGCAGGACAAACCAGCAGGCTGGAAACTCGGGCATTCTGTGTGCTGTCTGGAGGTAGAATTCTTTATTTGGAAAACTCAGCTCTTAAGGCCCTCAACTGATTGGATAGGACCACCCACACTGTGGAGGGAGTGCTCCTGTACTTAAAATCAGCTGATTATGAATGCTTATCTCATCAGAAAAAGACCGTCACAGAAACATCTGGCTGTTTGACCAAACAGCTGGCCACTACAACCTAGCTAAAACTCGACACAGCAAATTAGCCATCACCCAGCTCTTCTTTCCTTCCCCTTTCATTTTAAGATCATAAATACCCTTAGAATGATTAAAACCTCAGTGGCAGAAGTGCCAAACATTAGAAGGTCCGCATTTAGCCTCAAGATTTCTTTGATGACAGCCCTTGAGATGGGCGTATAGACACTAGAGGGTCTCTGTAAGCTGAGAATCTAGGAGTTTGCTTTTGCTGAATGGGTTTTAGATGTGAATGAAGAAATTATCACAAGACATCATCTATGCTAACCAGCCAGGTTTAGCTCCACGAAGCATGAATATTTGATATTGTAGACCAGCTGGTCTGAGTGCTTCGGCAGGATTTTGCATAAAGAAAAAGAAAGCAGGAGAGAGGAAACTGCAACATTCGTTAGTTTTGCATCATTTAATGAAGTGAAATTGCTGTCAAGAGGTTTTGTTGGTAGGTGGGAAGTTTAAAAAATGCTTCATTAAGACATGAGCTGCTTAGGTCCTGGGTTCAACCAGGTCAAATAGGTGGTCCTTTATCTGAGGTCACCTCCATTTGTGTGGTTTCTCTTGACACTTAGGAATGAAATTCCAATTTCAGTATCATGTCAAGACCCTTTTTTCTTAAAGGGTCTTGTTATCCTACATGTCAAGTTTCCAAGACAAATTTGGGGATTCTGGAAGCAACCACACTTACTTTGTAACTTCTTTTTCACCCAAATGGACTCTTCTTTGCATACTGGAAAGGCTGGTTTGGGCACACCTTTTTTTTAAAAAGTAGAATCAAACCTCTGGTAGGAGGATGTTTCATCTTTTTTCCATT